ATGGAGCTTATTATAGTCGACGCAATGCGTCCTCCTCAGGATGGGAACTGTGGTCCACGACCTGATGTCATTCACGAGACGATAAGATACACTGTCTTATCAAGTCTGGTACGACAAGTCTAGCGCAAGGGCATTTGCTTTACCTGCATTAAGCACGAGAAGAATGCTCAAGTACACACGTCATTACTTCTCACAAAGTTTCGAGAGAACTAAACAGTGAAAGGAGTGCGTCTTGGCTCTGAAGACGTACCCCTTTCACTGCTCAGTTCTCTTAAAACTTGTCGGTTTTGCTTCCACATGCTTTCTTCCAATTTACCATGAAAAACAAGACTGATGGACTATGTGCAGTTCAAAAATAATCACTCGAAGGTTGGGTATAAAAGTGCCCAAACTTTGCCTCTGGAAGTGGCATCTCGATTCGCCCCGACCCTGACGGCAAATATCAGAGGAAAGATTAGATGCAAATAATCAATGAGAGTGTTGCCCACTCGCACATGGGTACTATTTTGTTTATGGCATTATGTAAATAGAAGTGACTGTTGCTGTATTCGGTGCACGTGAGCATAGCAAAGATAAGAAGGTTGATACGAACATGTTTAATTTGACATGAGTGGATATTGCGAGTCTTCCACAAGCAAAGATTTTCCTGAACAGTTTGCAAATTTTTATGTTGCCGGCTTTGCTGCAAGTTGCAAGTTCATATAGTTCAAGTTCATAGTTCTTCTTCCCCTTCGTGCATCTAGCCAGCGCGCGAATCTTCACTTGAATGGACCAGCAGAAGCAAACGAAAGCTATTCGGCAATTTTCCACGAATGAACAGTGTGAATGCGGGGACGGCTGCAACCCAATCCGACCGCAAAGCGTCTCTTCCGCAAAAGTTCTCAAATGGTAATCGAGCGCCTTCGACGCTTCTAATGGATAACAAACAGCACGGCATTGCTTCTCCTTCGGATATAGTTTCCGGATGGGATTGCCAGTACTCATGAGTTCATCGCTGCCGACCTGCACATCATCCGCTGCTTTCAACGTGCCAGTCGCTACCGAGGATGCGGAAGTCACTCATAACTACGAGATGAATTGTCATGCCCACATCGCCTCACCGGGTGACTACCTACAATCGTCTTTCAGCAACCCGGCGAATGTCTGCTATGCCTCCAAATCCACCACTTCCAATCCGTACATGCAATACCAGATGGCGGCTGGAGCCCATCTGGCATACTTCAGTA